GTAAAGTCTTCCAATTTTCTTGCCAATTCCTTTTTTTAAGACCTTCAATGAAATCTAAAAAGTTAAAATGTTAAAATATCTTTGGCATTCTATGATTTTCCAAAACAGTATATTCCCACTACATAATTTCCAAGCAATGTACAAGATATTAATCGAAATTAATGTGTACCCTTGTATCAATCAAACTCCAGCGAAGATAGCACAGGGGGAAGCTCAGAAAGCCTAAGAAAATATTCATGATTAGCAAACCGCGAAGAACATGATAATAAAAAGCAAGATACATTCAAATGCGGATATGACACTATACCGCGTTTGAACCATTGAGTAATCTACTTATTTATCAACAACTGCTAAGAAGAAATTTATTATCTGAGGGTCTTGTGGAATATTACAATAAAAATAAATTTTAAACCATAGAGACATATAGAGCACATATAAAACATTAAAAAACATTTATAAATTAGAGTATATTAACATTTTTAAAATTATCATCCAACAATAATGTGAACCATATTTTGATTGTTACTATTTAATTAAACAAAATATGGCATTTTTATATAATTCTTAAAATATATTTGCTTTATTTGCAGGGAGGTGTAGTTCTGGTTAGTGAGGAAGTGGCTGAACGCCTTCTGCCAAAGTTTTCACGCTTGATTCAGCAAAGAAATCAGAAAATTGAAGCAGTCGCTCAAGGTTCAATTGAACAACTGAAACAATTAGTCCAATATGTCGCACAGGGTGATATTAAACCACCACCATATACCGAATTTTCTGCCGAAGAAGCGTCATCTGTAGTTCAAAAACTATGCATGTCCGAAATACCTGGTAGGGCTATTTTACGTTTTTATGATGTACAGTAGAACTTAACAAGTTGTATTTGGAAAAGCGACTAGTTAATAACTAAATGTTACTCCTAAATGTTCATAATAATCTTATTTTTCATATTTGAGTTTTGCGATGTAACATTGAATTATTTACAGATAGTGAAATGCTATCCAAGCTAGAAATTTAGAAAGAGATGTATTGTTGTTGCGAGAAAAATTACCATTTTTGAAGAAAGTAATTGCATCCAACATTTGTATTTCTATGTTTAGAACTGATAGTTAATTTTTCGCTTTCCATTACTTTTACTTTTATTTGACGAAATGATCTTGTTTTCACCAAATATACTTTGTGATTAGTATTATTAAATGTAGAAGTAAGTATTATATATTTAATCCGTATCAATAGTGTTTCTAGATGAAAACGTACTCCGTAAAAATATGTGATATGTTTATATTTTTTATTAACATATATTTTATATTTATTCTAAAACACAGCATTTTTATTTTGAATTATTTTGCATTTTAAATATAATAACAAATACATTTAATAAACGATTTATAGATGTTAGTGGCATTTTTAATTGTACCTTTATGTACCACTTCTCACGAAGGCACATAACAATCCTCCTAGTGTAGTAGATATATTCAAGTTGCAGGAGTATCTAGAAGAAAGAGAACATATGGATATAGCTAAGCAATTAGAAAAACGAATTGCTAATTCAAGATCTTACTTTCAAAATCAGACTGAGTACATCACTCAATTTTCGTAGTAAATGACACAACACCATCTATCCAAAGAAAAAAAAATATGCATAAAGATGAGTAAACCTTTGCATGGGTGACATCCAAATGAAGCCATCCAAGACTAGGATTCAGTAGACAAGTTGTAATATATAAAATAGGAATATTGAGATCAAAATAACGATTTGAGAATACATTAATAAGTTAAAATAGTTGTTTGTCAAATCTTAGGGCAATTAAAAATCTAGAGCCCACATTAAATAACAAATGCGTCTCTGTTAGAAAAACACATTTGTTAAAGTTAAAGATTATAAAAGTAGGATTCAAGGCCAATATTATAAGTCCGTGTCAGACGGTCAAGTATTTGATCAAACTAGTTTGACCAATTTAAAAAAATTGACAGCATGTGACGTCACATCCTGAGTTTGATCAAATCCTCTAAAAATAGAGAAACTTCTATTTTCAAGGTCAGTTTGATCAAACTTTAATTTTGATTAGTCGAAAAATATCTAAAGTCAAATGACAATCAGCAGTTAGGCATAACGTATTTAAATTAATTTTCTTTTTTTCTTTGGTTGACAGTGTGTGGTTTATTTGTCTTCATATTTTGTTAATAAAAATAAAAATTTAAAATATCTTGCAGCCAAGAATAAGTTTCAACATAATTGATTTATACCGAGCAAGAAGCTGTTTATATAATGTCAAACATCCATATTATTCTAAAAATCCTTTCGCCCTATTTATTTTATTTGTGTATAAGAAAAATTAGAACCGTAAATAAAGCCCAATTAACTAATAAAATAAGCAAAAAAGACAATTAATTTCCTTGACATACGTCAATTTGATCAAATTTGAATGATCGTGTGACAGGTACATTTTTAAAACTTGAACAAACTGTAATTATGCCGTCATTACGTCAGTTTGCTCAAATATTTGACCGTCTGACACGGACTTTAGGTTAGATCGATAGATTAACAGTCAATCCTTACTTGTAATTAAACATATGTATCCCTATTTACTCGGGAATAGTCATGCCAGACTAATACAAAGATAACCGCGTACCATCGTCAACTAAATAAGTTATTAATTAATAACCTTGAAGCTGTAAAAACTGAGATGTAAGAACCTATTTATACCTATATTTCCGACCTTCCGTAATACAAAAATGAGCAGCGCCAGATAAGTCACGGCCGGCTTATTTGACATAAATAAGCCTTGAATAAATACCTTATTTCATGGCATTCCACGAACAGTTGGTACATTATCCTGTGGCTATCCAATCCAGTAGCAATCTAAGGAATCTCCATCCAAGTAAACGTTTTGACGTAGCCTAAGAATGGGAGGACAATCATCAAAGGAGGAGTTGCAAAAGAATGGAGTGGTCAACAGCAACTTTATAGTAAAGAGCAGATATGTTAAACCAGATACAGAAATAAAGGTACTGTTATACGTTATTACCACAGTCCTAATACTGCGTTGATTATGGTCATTATAGAAGGAGCATAGGATGCCTTTAAAGCGGAGCATACACCGTGGCATAGCGGCGAGATGAGCAACAAACCTAAACATTTGACTGGTGAGTTTGCATATTGTCTATTTTTTGTACTTCATTAAATACACACATATTTTATTAGTTTGCACAAATGACTGTACACGTTTAATTTAACAATTATTATTTATATTTTTGACTGATTCATCATCACCCAGCTCTTTGCGTCCACTACTGGACATAGGCCTCCCTCATGTTTGTCCATTGTGCTCTGTCTTGAGCACTTTTCATCCAATTTCTTGAGATCGTCAGTCCATCGTGTAGGGGGTCTTCCTCTACTTCTTTTGTCTAATCTCGGGCTTCACTCAAGCAATCTCTTCGTCCACCTTTCATCACTGATTCGGGCGACGTGTCCGACCCAGTTCCATTTTAGTGTGGCAATTCGGGAAATTACATCGGTAACTCCTGTTCTTCGTCTTAAGTCTTCATTTCTAACTCGGTCACGAAGCGATATACTCAGCATTGATCTTTCCATTTTCCTCTGAGCTATTTGCAGCGTTTTAGAACTTGTAGCTGTCAATGTCAAAGTTTCGGCACCATAGGTCATCACACATTGGTCAAATGTTTTACGTTTTAAAGAAATTGGTATATCGCTTTTAAAGATGTCTTTGAGTTTTCCATAGGCTGCCCATGCTAGGTTTATTCTTCTTCGTAGTTCGCATGTTTGGTTGTCTCTTATGATCTTTATTTCGTGTCCAAGATATATGTATTTTTCCACCAGCTCTACTTCGTTGTCTCCAATATTGATATTTCCGCTAGGTACTAGGTTTGTCATGAATTTTGTTTTAAAGATGTTTATTTTAAGATCCACACACTAAATGAAGTTCATGTAGCATTGTACATATCTCCTTGAGGTTATCCGAGAACAAAACTATATCGTCTGCGAATTTTACATTTGTTAATATTCTACCGTCAATGTTCAGGCCTTTCTCTTCCCAGTTAAGTTTTTTTACAAGCATATTCTAGTACTGCGGTAAACAATTTAGGCGATAAGGTATCACCCTGTCGGACTCCTCTGTCGATTGGGATGTGATCCGTCTTTTCATGTAGTTTCACACATAGTTGCGTTTTTGTAAATTAACCTTGTATATCGGTAGTCAATGCGGCATGCTTGTAGTGCTTCCACGATTTTGTCAAATTCTACCGTGTCAAAGGCTTTATGGAAATCTACAAAAGCCAGAACGAGTGATCGAACGGTACGAAATCCTGTTTGCTCTATTAGCTGGTAGAAATCAAGTTTTTTCTCAAGACGATTCGTTAGTATTCTTGTAAAGAGTTTGTATAAGTGACTAAGAAGACTTATAGGTCTGTAGTTTTCTAATTCATGGGGATCTCCTTTTTTGTACAATAGAATTAACTCAGCATTGTGCCATTTGTCGGGTATATTACTGTCCAAAAGACACATGTTAAAAAGTTTTTTTATCTTCTTAAGTAGGCAATTGCCTCCGATTTTGATTGCATCAGTAACTACACAATCTTCGCCTGGAGATTTGTTATTCTTAGCTTTTCTTAGGGCTAGTTTTATTTCGTCCATTGTGATTTCCGGTAGCAGTTCTGATCCTTGGTTGACAATAGAACAATATTAGCGTGTTTTATTTCAAAAACGTCACATAAGATTTTAAATAATCGTTGTCAAGAGATGGCAATACTTTTGCAATAATTATGTGACCTATTTGATTTAAAATGGATTCAGGATTTTTTTATACTTTGGCAACTATGTCAACTTCGATCTCTGACGCAGATAATGACGTGCAACGGTATGTAAATTAGATGAAGTATAGGTCCATCAGCATACTATGACAGTAGATAATGGTAAAACAAAACGAGCAGATTAAAATAAAATTTATTACATATGTACAAAACATTAAAATTATTTACAACTGTTACATAAAATGGATACAAAAAAATTGTATAAAGAAAAGTAACAAGTTTGTATTTTGTTGATAGGGACAACAAATATGTTCAGATAAAAAATATCTAGAACCTTCACTAAAAATCCGTACTTATTTTAAATCTGTACATAATGCTATGCTTTTTTGTTTATACTATGGTCATAGAGACAGAATTATAGAAGTTATCAATTATACGGATTTATTTATTATCAGCACTTGTTGTCGTTGTTAATACCGTTTTTCTGAAACTGATTTCTAATTTCCGTTAAAGCTAATGAAAATATGAGTTAATAATGAGAAACCTGTTGTATGTAACCAGTTGAATAGAAAAACGTTTACAATTTACATCCTACCAAATGTATATGGTGTGTGATGTTGAGTATTAGCCATAGTAGTCACCAAATTCCCTTGTTCGTTAATAACATATCCTGTATTGGCTAACTGATATGAAAATGTATTTGTTGTAGTATGGTTATTACTATGTTGAGGTGTCACAACATTTGCGTTGGGGACTAACTGCGGAACAGGAGTGACTAAAAAGGTTTGCTGGTGATGTTGAGCATTGGTAGTATCAGTTGGAGATGGAGCAACTACTAACGGAATCACTTGTTGAACTTCGTTGGTAATTACACATTTTTGTACTTGAATTTGCTGTTCGCGAGGTCTCTCAATAACTGTTTGTATTTGTTGATTTTGGGAAACAGTTTGAACTTGTGGTGTTTGTTGCTGCTGTTGACTACTGCTATGAGTAGTATTTTGATTAGTGGAATGATGTGGGGTACAAGATTTTGGTTCGACTTTGCAGAATTTTACATGTGGAAATTGTTCCTTCATAAAATGCCTAAATGTTGAATAACCCATTAATTTAATACCAGGTTCAAGAATCTGTCCATATTCTTTATAAGAATCATGTAGATTTTTTCGTGTGACATCCCACGGAAGCTGTATAGGCTGTTTGGTATTTACGATATCTTTTTCGCCCGTATGCTGTTGTAAATACTGTTTTAAAAACTCAGTGGCATGTCTGTAAATATCTAGTGAGAAGGTATTATGAGGTTTTTTACCATGATTACCATGTACTCTAGGAGCGACACCATGTGTCATTACGTGTTTTCTTATCCTTTTTAATTGATAATGTGTACAGTTTTCTAAATACAAAAAAGCATCAAGACATACTCTTCTACCTTGATACACATACTGTGCTCTTAACCTCCTTCGTTCCTTGTGTCTTACCGTAGTATCAGGGTTTGCTAAACAAGCCATAGTAACTCCCATTAAATACATATCGTGTTCACCTTTGGTAAGTTCAGCTATATTAAGTCGATGTTTATAGACACTCTCAGCATTTAAACCCCTGAAACAGCTTTCATCTTGGCATTCACAACCTCTTTTAAATCTATCTTTTACTTGAGCAACACTTTCTTCTATCTTTGTTGGATCATTTGGCATTCCATTAACTATTTTTTTCTTTTTTTTCACTGTAATCTTTTTTTTAGCCTTCGGATTTTCTTTTTTAATTTCATTTTCTGTGGCTTTTGGGGATTCATCACCTGTTTCAGATTCTTCTATAGAATGGCCAGTGTAAATAGTATTAATATTACTCTCTGGATCAACTATTGTGTGACCCTCCCAAATGACCTAAAAAATATAGAGAATTAATTTAAAAAGTTCAATACATTAGGTACATTTTATTAACAAATTAATTAGAATATTGAAAGATGAACTGTCAATTCAAATACCATGGCAAGTTTGGATATTTTGGGCACTTGCTATGAGCCAGTGTGAAACAAATAGATAATATAGTTAAAACAGGATCAGTCCAATGGAAGGAAGCTAATGGTATATGCAAATGGAAAATACCAATCCAATTATAACAAATTTTAGAAAAGTTTTATAAAGGCATCTATCATATATATAATTTATACGTCCATATGGACGTATAATGAATGTTGCGATAATAACAAATACACTGCGCGTTACGAAAAAGAAGTCCTAAAATTTTTGCCATTTTTTAATTTTTACGAATCATACCACAAAGCCATTAGATGTTTGTGTAATGTTTAAAAATATGTTCTAAAGCAGTATGCAATCATTTTTAAATAACAAAATAATGATTTAAAAAATAAAAAAAAAATTAACATTGTACATTTTTTCTGTTTTCTTTATAAAATTATTATAATTAAGTTGTGATTATTAATACTGTGTATTACCACCTTCTATTGTGAATTACACTCGTTCAATTTGGCATTGAATTGATCAAATTGTGGATGTCGTTTTGAGGAAAAACTTCCCATTCTTCCATGAGCGCCAACCGAAACTGCTCACGATTTACTGGAGCATGTATTCTGTTTTTTAACCTTCGTTTGAGTTGGTCCCAAACATGTCAAATCGGGTTCAAATCTGGACTTTGAACTGACCAGTTCATGTTTGGCACATCGACAGTTTCCAGATATTGCAATACCATCCTAGCTAGCTGGTGTGGCCGCGCGTTGTTTTGTATAAAAATAAAGTTTTCGCCGACAAACCCAGCAAAAGGCATTAAATATTTGTCTATTATTTCGGTAATGTATCAGTGTGCATTCAACGCTACTCTATCAATAAATACGAGATCAGTACGGCCCTCGAATGCCATGCCTGCCCAAAACATTTCCGAACCTCCTCTAAAAGCAACACGTACTCGTCGAACACAAGCAGCATATCGTTCCCCATGTCTTCTGTATGTTTTGATGCGACCATCTGAGCCATAAAGAACCATTCTGGACTCATCACTAAATAAAACATTTTTCCAAATTTCTATCATCCAATGCTCGTTAACAAAGGTCCTGTTGCTGGACAGCGAGCTCTTAGACCAAATTCCCTCAATCTTCTTCTCTCGGTAGAAGTGCTTAAAGTCCACCCGTGAGCATTTTGAAAACGGTTTTGGATTGATCTAGCCATAAAGAACCGATTTTGCAAAGAAGTTCGTTGTAAAGAACGGTCTTCTGTGGCAGTCGTGATTCTTCTCGGGCCGTAGTGATTCTTCTCGGACATGTTCCTGGTCATCTTTCGTGAAATCCAGTCTCTACGAATCGTTGGTAAATTTTTTGGACCATACAACGACTAACTCCAAGCTCTCTGGCCATTTCTCTTTGACTCATTCCATTACCAATCAAAGTAACAATCTGAACAGATCTAGCAAATTTCTCAGCCTTAGTTTTTAATTTAAAAATTACACAAGTTTACTTACTCTTCGAACAACTGTACACTACTGAAAGGTTTTTGAAAAACAGAATAGCCATATTCCAAGAAAATAAGGTACAAACAATACGTGCATTATCCGAAGTCGTATAACTGATATCAATTCTGAAAACTTATTACCCTTAATTGACCTGTCGGCACCGTTTGTCGGTGCCTAAAGACGCTAAAAGTGTTTCTGCATTGCGGGAATTTCGTTACAATAGAATAAATTGTATAAACTTGAAGTTATTGAAAAATTCTTACAAAATTCTAAGTGGCCTCTTTTTCGTGACGCACAGTCTAGAAAAACATTAAATTGATGTAGCCTAAATATAAGTATGGTTTGATGGATGACCGAAACAACAAATTAAAAGGGTTCTGAAACTGTTTTCTTGTGGCATGTTCAAGAGAAATATTATATTTATATAGGATTCAGCCACAGTTGGTTGTAATGACAATCACAATTTTAAACATAATTGATGTTTTCACTCCGGAAATCGTTCCCAATTTGATAGGTTCTGCCAAGAATGTTCTATATATAATATAATAGATAATTCTAAGAGAAGAAACGTGAGAGATAGTGACACTTTGCGATAATGTAAAAAGTATATGTACAACTACCTGCTGCTCATCAAGATTATGTGTGAAGTGCCCTGAATCAATAGCTGAAAATAATGAATGTGATATAGACACTGGTGTGTGCCATTGTATCTGTGCTTCTTCCTGTCCATCAGCATTGGTCGAAGTCTGATATGTTTGGTTTTCTACAACATCCTCTTGTTTTTCAATTCTCTCTACCGATAGCAATGTGTGTAAGACTTCACTAGCTTCCTTCTCAGCTGAGTCATTGACTGCTGACATCTAAAAAAAAAAAAAATAAATTTTTAACATCGAATAGCACATGTATAGAAATCATGTTTATATTGAACAAAATATATTCTTAACATCCAAGGTATTATTTGGTATGGCATATTTTCCCATTCTTCAAAAGACACTCAGAGGCATGCTGAATAGTATGTGGCACGACTGGATGATTGTGAACGTGTCGATCAAATATATTACACAAAAGTTCAGTGGTGTTTAGGTCGAGTGTCAAAATTGGATTCTACAAGGTCAAACGTTTTAAAATCGCAGATAACACAGGTCTCAGTCTCTCTGTGAACGTGGTGATATTACATATTGAACATTTTTTCCGACATGTTGGGGAAAGAGCAAAACGTTTAGTTAAAATGTGTTTATCTAAAGAAAATAAAGAAATTCCTTCAAGTAAAAGTATTAGTATGTAATTATATCGTTGTAGCAGAAATTTGCGGTGTTGATTGTTAACAGGAATATGGTGATATGTAAAAAATGTAATTTTTTTTTCAGGAAAAAATATTTATCTACAAATGTAAGTCCAGTACGACAAGAACCATTTACTACCGAAAAACTAAGTATTTTATAAGGGTTTCAGAACTACATATATTATGAAAAAGGTAAACCGATATGTCATATTTATTATTCTTTTGTAGGTGAAGAAAATGTACCCGTAAATTTAATTTCAATGGGCCAAGAATCATCTGACTCATCAGGTATTTTTACTAAATGTGTTGAAAAACTTTTGTAGTGATGATTCGATAAAATATCCTCAGTATCAACCGTCGGCCGATGATTCATCGTCTTCAGATGAAGAAACTAGAACAGCGGTTACATCTGCCTCCACCTAGCACTAGGCCTACACGATCACGTTTATTAAAAAAACATAAAAAAATTAAACGTAACTTAGATCTGGAATATAAAACGCTCAACGGGAAAGTAATACCTGAGAGACGAACTAAAGAGTTAATAATATGTCAAATGAAATGCAAAGAACGATTATCAGCTGAGATACGGGAAGCTATATTACAGAGTACTGGAAATTGATCACTAATGGAAATTCAAGATGAAATTACAGCAAGACAACGCACACTTGATTCAGAAAAGCAAAAGTTTAGACTGAAGACAAATATTTTTTGCTTGTCAATGGTACTCGCCAACCCGTTTGTCGAGGTTGTTTGTTAAAGATTTTAGATGAAAGTGAAAACTTCATAAAGACAGTGGCCTTTAAAAAAAGAGGATAAAAATGTATTTAGACATAGAAAAGGTTCTTTTAACGTCTATTGACGCACTTGGACAATATTGAAGTTTTGGCAGTATACTATAAGGTCATGGTACATGTTCGTCAGAAGACTTATTTTCGTAGATATTTTTGACTATTTTTAAAAATTTAAACCCGTCATTCTTTGTTAAAGTCACTTCCGCTTTGCTCCTAATTTGATCTCCAACTTTACCCGGAACGTTGCCACACTTAGACATAAAAGTTTCAATGGTGCTAATGGACTCTCTTAAACTTAATTGTCCACTCTCTAACGATGTTATCATATCTGGTATAAAGCAAAAATTAACTTTAATAAAAAGTAAATCTCTAGCTACACTTGCGCTTGATTGGGGATTTGAGCTCATTTGAGCACAGTTTATTACCAGTAGTTACCTAAAGAACATCATATTGTGTAATTACCAGTAGCTGTCAATAAAATCAACATTTTTCTCCATAACTTCAACCTTTTATTATATTTATCATCGTCGATCGACAAGAAGCGGACAACGGGGCATTTACAAACCAATTCGAACCTCATAACTACGTTCGAAACTTTCCAGCGCTCGTTCGTCAGATTTGGCGTCCACTTTACTAACAAAGATACAAGCATTATATTTCTACTTAATAGAGATCAAAATTATATTTAGCTCAACATTAACAAGATGTATCTATACTTTGTTTCAAAGTGACTAGTCTATACAGGGTAAGATATGCAATGCTAACCTTATGGGAATTTCGCCAAGACGTTGCCAGTTTTATGCAGTGAGCGATGGCGTTCTCTATTGTCTATCTTTCAAAATAAACGGAATAAACCAGGAGTTCTCAACAAGTCCTCACGTACAATTTTATATAATTTATAAATATCGTTTGCTAATAATTTTACATAATACTTACTATACATTATTTGTTTCTAATAGTAACTTATCAACTTTTATCTTTTATTAGTAGCAGTAGTATAATAAAATGTGCATTAAATAAACATTTGTTTCAAAATTTTTCAAATACTTTCTTCCAAGTTATTCAGTAATTAAGAAGCAATTAGAGTAATTCTTGTACAAAATATGTTTAAAAACTTGATACATCCAGGGCCTTAATTAGTCTTTATTTGTTCCTCAGAGCGCAAAAACATATTCGAGTTACGATTATTTGTACCATCTTAGATGTACTGTTACTGTTTTGTTATTGGTATTATTTGTTGGTGGCTGTTGTTGTGATTTGCTGTAATTGTTATTTTCTGTTGTTGGCTATTGTTATATTTGACCCTGAATTTTTACCGCAAAATGGAGGAAATTGTTCAATGGAAACGTGGAAAAACTCTAAAACTTTGAGAGAAGCAGATACTAATGAATATTATTAATTATCATCTTAATCAGAATAACAACGATTCTGTATCAAGTGTAATTAGGAAAGTGTTAGAAATGAGTGGTGTTTGTGAAAAGACTCTGTTTCGCATACGACAGGAATATTCATCACCTGCTAGATTACAATCTTCAAAGAGCAGACCCAAGAAGCGAAAGGTTGGTCATTCTCGTGACAACAAGTACGATGAAGGTGTCAGGGGCCAAATTCGTAGAATAGTTCATCAATTTTCTCGTGACAATATACCACCAACAATAAACACCATATTAGCTGTTGTAAATGTTGAAGAAACTTTGCCCAACTTTTCACGGTCCACGCTACATCGCTTGCTGAGTGATATGGATTTTGTGTTTATAAAACGTGGCAGAAATTCAATTTTGATTGAAAAACCGGAAATCATCTCGTGGCGTCATCGTTATTTACGCACAATTCGTAAATACCGTGCAGAAGGATACAACATAGTGTATTTGGATGAATCATGGGTAAATATCGGACACAGTGTGAAAAAAGAATGGGTTGATAAAACAATTACATCTCATCGCGATGCTTTTGTTCGTGGTCTGACAACAGGATTAAAAGCTCCCACAGCTCGTGGTGTATGGTTCGTTTTATTGCACGCAGGATCTACCAGTGGATTTGTTGATGGAGCAGAGCTCACGTTTTTAGCAAAGAAAAATACTCAGGACTACCACGACGAAATGGATGGACCGACCTTCGAAGATTGGTTCGAAAATCACTGAATGCTAAATTTGTCAGAAAAAACTGTTGTGGTAATGGACAATGCCTCCTATCACAGCAGAAAGTCAGAATTACCACTAAAAAAAGATATTCAAGGCTTCTGTCAAAGGACCTATTTTTTAAGAAGACTACCTAAAATGCGAGTTACTTGATGTAGTCAAGGCCTTCAAAGCAAAATATGACAGGTACATAATAGAAGATATTGCCAAAAAGCACAATGTGAAGATTCTGAGGCTCCCACCCTATCACTGTGAACTCAATCTCATCGAAATGGTTTGGAGTGAAGTGAAACGGTATATAGCTGGACGCAACGCGAATTTTAAAGAACATGACATGCGAAATTTAATTACAGCAGCGTACTAGGTCATTACACCCGAGAAATGGAAAAACCATGTAAACCACGTAATAGCAATAGAAAAAAAATGTGGGAAATTGACAATTTGTTGGATATCAAACCAATTATTATAAATATAAATAACGGAGATAGTGATGACAGTGACAATAATGATGATGATGATAGTTAAGCAGAAACTAAATGCGACAGCGACTGACAGAAAAAGGAACTAAATATAATGGTGTACTAATAGTATGATTACTTACATACGAAATTAAATACAATGACTTGTTTTATTTTCGAATATTTATCCGTTTTGTTATTGCCAACATATACAGTGCGGTTTTTAAAAGTCCTTCCCCCCCTTAACTTTTGAACGGAACAATACATAAATAAAATGTTTTTTATATTTTAGTTTTATTTTAATCTATAAACAAATGGTTTGTATCACTAGCACATACTGTAGAATTAAAAACAAACTACTTGTGTGACATAAATAAAAGGCATTTCTTAATTTCTCTTTTATTTTAATTTGACAGGAGGAAGCCAGGCAGGGTTGTTAGTGTGCATTAGTACTTAAACTATGCTGAACACAAAAGATGGATTAGGCTAAGTAGTAAGAAGTGACATTTATTTTAATACAAGTTTGCAAAGAAGTATGACATCGATGTTGTGCATTTACCTTGTACAGACAAGTCAATTTGAGACAATCTATATCTCATTATTTTGTAAGCTGCTAATCTTTTAAGTCCAACCAACACTTAAATTAATTTATTTCACCAAACCCAATACGAAATATTGGAATTTTAAATAAATGTTCTGACCAATAAAAAAATGTAATGGCAAAAGTACCTTTATTTTCATATTGTTTCATTTTGTTCCATTTGAGAACGTAGATAATGCTGGCCAACTATTGTTGCATTCTCCTTTAAAACATTGTACCTAATGATACCTATGAACACTCATTGCAGCAACCATTTTTTTTTATTTAATAAAGTTAAGATAATATGTTTAGCATATCAGGATATTTATTTTTAAAATCGGCAAAAACACACACAAGACCTAATTATAGTCAATGAATATGTTGAGTACCAAGTTAACTACTGCAGTTTCCAGGGTTATTTCAGGTGAACTGAAAAGAATAAGACATGATTTTATACAAATTTCAGGTAAGTTTCTTTTGGTAAATTTATATTTTTACATATTCATCTTTTAATTAAAACATCTGCATCATTTTTTGCTTTTTGCCGATTTTTTCTAAGACATTTAGGTATACACAAATTAGGATCAAAAGTTTTTGCTATGTCATCATCATCATCACTGGCTGGACAACCCTTTTTGGGTCTTGGCCTGTTCCAGGATTCTTCTCCATTCTGATCTGTTTCATTCTTTTTTTCTCCAGTTTTTTATTTTTAAGGTTGCTATATCATTTTCTATTTGTTCGAAGTATCTCAGCTTCGATCTTCCTCTTTTTTTTCCTACTGACATCTGTTTGAATATTTTGTTTGGTATTTCGCCTTCTTCCATTCTTTCTTTTTTTTGCTATGTAAAACATCTAAATATCTTTTGTGAATGATAAACAGCATTGCCAAACTACTGCAACTTAGTCAGTACATATCCATACAGAAGGTGTGACACAACCTGGTATATAAATTACTTAGATTTTATTAAAACCAAAATTAATAATAGTTTTGGGCTCACATCTGGTCCTTGAGGTATGACCTTTTTTCGGAAACTGTTAAACTGGTAGTACTGCAGCCAATTGACTTATTGTACATGAGATATCATCTGGACAACATCGGTAGCCAATAATAGTGTTTTCTGTTTAGAGTAAGAATACTCAGTAGAGCATATAATATTAGGATCTATGGCTTTTGTCCTGTAAAAACTACAGACTTTAGAGATCAACCTGATTACACCCTAACAGATATTAGTATTAGTGGTGTATAAAAGACAACATGAGAATAAAAAATTCCTTTGATAATTCATAAGGTTTTAAATGCATCAGCATAAATAATTTTTGATTCCAAAAAATAGCTTAAAAGTGATCTAAAATATTGGAGCTAATGTAAGAATATTCATAATATTTCGGCTTCACTGCTTTAAGCCTTAAACAAACTATAATATAAAATATCTTCTATTTCTAATAAATTGTCTGTATTATAAATTTAGTTGACGTGAGGTTTTGAGTGTCCAATACTCTTTGATTAATCAAATATATTTAATTTGTAAAACGTAAAACTTATTGTGCTTTAATAACAAGTTCTATAGTCAGGTACCCTATATTTTAGTTGGGTTTCCACTGCTTTAACATGTAAAGAATTAAAATAACCTACACATGTCCCGACAAGATCACCCAACTGGCGTGCCCGATGGTTTGTGTGTGTGTGTGTGTGTGTGTGTGTGTGTGTGTGTGTGTGTGGTGTGTGTGTGTGTGTGTGTGTGTGTGTGTGTGTGTGTGTGTGTGTGTGTGTGTGTGTGTGTGTGTGTGTGTGTGTGTGTGTGTGTGTGTGTGTGTGTGTGTGTGTGTGTGTGTGTGTGTGTGTGTGTGTGTGTGTGTGTGTGTGTGTGTGTGTGTGTGTGTGTGTGTGTGTGTGTGTGTGTGTGTGTGTGTGTGTGTGTGTGTGTGTGGTGTGTGTGTGTGTGTGTGTGTGTGTGTGTGTGTGTGTGTGTGTGTGTGTGTGTGTGTGTGTGTGTGTGTTTACTCTTGCCTTGTTACTGTTTTAACTCTTGATTTTATTGCTTAGTACAGGAAAAGTTTACCTAACTGAAGGGTATTTAATTTTAGTCATGTTATATGGTTTTAGAATGGTTGTTATCCTACCTAACTGAAACAATACAAATAGTATGTGTTCAGGGTTTTCAATCATTTGAGATTAAGGTACTTTCAGGAGTACCACAACGATCACACCTAGGAGCTCTTCTATTCAATAACTATATTAATGGCATTGCCTCCTGTTTCCTCTTTGCTTCTTTCCTAATGTTTGCTGACAATTTAAAATTATATTTGAAAATGGAGAATGATGGTGACTATCAAAAACTACAGTCTGATTTGGATCAGTTGAGCTATTGGTGTGACAGCAACGGAATAGAACTTAATGTTAAAAGTGTCATTTCATAGTTTTTGGTCTGAATAAGGCTCCTACAAATCATATCTATACTATCAATGGTTGCCCTTTAGACTGTATCTCAGATAAAAGACCTAGGTGTTGTGCTCGACTTCCAGCTTATCCTATATCCCCCATATCTCATCTGTTGTCTCAAAATCACTTAAACTTTTAGGGTTTATCAAATGTTGTGCTAAAGACTTTCTATTTTGTATTGAAAAAAATTATATGTAAAAAATTTTGTATTATTCACTTGTAAGAACCAACCTAGATTACTGTTCATGTGTTTGGTCTCCTCGCTATAACACCCATATTCAAGCTATTGTGAGAGTTCAACACAAATTCTTAAGATTTGTTGCATTTAAACAAAACCAGAGGATTGAAGAAATTAACTATTCAAATATGGAAAGGTCCCTCAACATAACTTCTCTCCAAATCCGACACATACACAAGGATCTCACTATGTTTTATAGTATACTGCACTTGTATTATTTTTGGTCCTCACCTATTGGAAAAAATTAATCTCCATGTTTCCAGTAGACAAACAAGGCTAAATCAACCCTTTTATGTTAGACCCCATTGTACAAACTACGAACTCAATTCATTCACATCTAGAACACCAAAGTTTGCTTATCATTATTCCCAAAGGTTGGATTGTTATAGTATTCCAAAAGAATTTAGTGCTCAGCTTAAGAATTGTGTGTGATAGCTTGATGTCCTTGTGTTTTGTACATTCTTTGTTAATGTTTGTTATTTACTGCTCCAACTTTTATTTTTTGTATGATTAAAATTTTTAAATTTACTTTAAGTAAGTAGATCTCTTAAGTTAAGATCTCTTAAGTAGATCTCTTAAGTTAAGTAAGTAGACCTTAAGAATCAACTGTAATTTATCAATAATGTTTACATTGTATTTTAATTAAGCGATTGCTCGTTGATAAATAAATAAATATCTAATAACAATATAACGCCTACAAAACTTTGTTTAGGAATGCACATCTGGAATAGTGCATACCAAGTAGGTATGCACTATTCTAGATATTATATTCTACATTTTATTTTTATTTCCAATTAGTTTAAGTACCAAATTAAACACAATTTTTGAAATAATAATTTGTAAAAAAAAATAGAAAAATGGAACAGTTATAATTTCCATGGTTTAAAATGATGGGCAGATTGTAACTTAAGGATGAACTGATAAAGTTGCTATTTAAAGATACTTTTGATTTTACGAAAATTTTTAAATTTTTACTTTAATATTAATATAGAGTGTGAGTATTTAATCTTGGATTAACCTGTGATATTGTTTATATACCTGTTATATAAAAATATAACCACAAAATTGAATGTTTATAAACAAAATAATGACATCAATACATATAATTGTTTTAAAGGAAAACAGTCTTTAAAGTAGCAAAGAAAAGATCAAATTCGCTCGACAGCTTGCTTTCTAGTCACACAAAAGTAGACCATAATGGCATCCATTACAAATAAAATTTAGTTACCTTTTTGTGGATTATTCTATAATTTTTCAAAGTTTTGTCCTTGAATTGAACATAAAATAAAGAAGATAATGTCTTTACATATTTCAGTACTTATGAAACGCTCACTTAAATCAATATTTTAAAGAAATCTTAATTTTAAATATGAATTAATTATTGATATACAAAGTTATGCCTGCACTTCTGTCTAAACTTTAGGCTATCTTACCCTCTACCTGCGCACTAAGCAGATTAATAACACACTGCGCCGGTTCATAATATGGCGACTAGGACTGCGCTAGGACACTTGGAACTGTTATAGTTATTGTTCTATATATTATTTGTATAAAATGATTATTGAATTGATTAATGAATTGTTATGTTTTGTATAAAATTACATTCGATTCAAAAGAAACTGAATAATAAAATAAGATTTACAATTTTGTTTTTAATTTCATGTCATGTGTCCACAATGTAATCTTACAAAAATATAACCATACTTTTGAAATTGCAGTATTGGTCACAGAAATATTTAAAACATTTGAGATCGAGTCGTATCAATTTTCTCAAAAATATTGATTTGATTCCTTTTATGTTGTATGTAATATAAAATAGCCTTAACCCTAGGGCGGGTGCACTTTTAAAAATCACAGATATGGGAGACGACACTATAAGGCGCTCCCTAACTTTCGCGTGATTAGTTGGTGGGTGGGTCCCAATTTAAAAATTGGCGGGTTTCATGTTTATGACAATTGAGGTATTGTGGCACAGTATGTCGGTAAACAATTTATTAGCAATATATTGTGGTATTGGTACAAAGCGGATGATATTCACATTTTAGGATTAAGCTGACTAGTACAGTTTTATTAGAAATTAAAATGCTAGTGATGCTTTTTTTTATTAGATATATAGATATTGTTTTAATTTTTTTGTTTAGGTAATTTTTTACTAAGATTTAGAGGTTCCTCTTATTATTTTTATTTCTAGAACATTCATTACCATTATTATTCTCATTAGCTTTCTCTATGTGGAATCGGCTTCTCTAAGTATTTTCCTCTAAATTTTCTGTTCTCTTCCAGGGACTAAGTACCTCTCCGCTTTTTGTATGAGTATATGGATTTTCAGAAACATGTAATTTCTGATCATCCCCTTTTTTACTGCCCTACATTCAGTACCATACATCATAGCTGGTCTAAAGGCAGTCCTATACAATTTACCTTTTAGTTTTCTTGGTACCTTTTTTATCACACATCAGTCAGTTTGCCTCTTTCCTTTACCTTTAATTAAAATATTAGAGATAAAACGGTAATACCGATCCTAAAAGCCGAACATTATCATCTTTTATGAGTTCTTGTCTATCCAAGCCAACTACTCTATCTGGTCTTGAAATTTCATCTTTAAAAGAATATTCTAAATATTTTGTTTGTATCCAACTTAATTTTAATCATTTTTCTTCAATGACCTGTCTCCGCTACTCTTTTCTACTAATACCCAGGAGATTAGTTGTTATCTAATCCAGCACAAATGAGAATAAATATGGGCGAAACCCTGATTTTCACTCATTTTCACACAAAATTTGCCAGTTTCACTTGTAATCGTTTTAACACTATAATAGTTGTTCTAACACTATTATAATTGTTACACACACAGTAGGTTTCTGATATCTTCATCATGTGCTTTCTCAAGTTTAATAATACTATGTAAATTCACTCTAAATTGTTAAATTAGCTCTTTTAATAAAAATTGCTGTTGTAGACCTGCCTTGCCTAAATCCAAATTGACATTAATCCATTTTCATTTTTTAGAACCTTACACTGAATTCTGTTAGATTTTACCACAAATGTAGGATAATAAAAAGATATATTGTGAATTGAGTGCTATGAAAAATTGTCATTGTCAACAAAATGAAGCAGAGGTTTACTGGAAATAACTATTGCAAACCAAATAAAACACTAAATAGCTATGTCTAAAATGTTTTTATTCTTTATTAAAAATCTGGGAAATCAAAGGAGGGGGAGGCCGTTATTTGTGCAATGGCGAAGGAAAACCCCTCTAAACCTCGCCTAGGGCCCAGTACATCCCGATTTAAAAATACAATTCTAATATAAAAGTCTACAAATAGCTTTATAACATCATTACTTAACACAGCTTTAAAATTCAGGCCTAAGCTAAGCATTTATATATATATATATATATATATATATATATATATATATATATATATATATATATATATATATATATATATACAGTGTAGGAAAAATTTTATGGTCGGTATGGACCTTACGTGAGATGGAGTGAGAAACAGCTGTTTAAAAAGAGAGAGGTATATTAGGTACGCCCTTTATATCGCCGAATGGAAATATTAAAAAAGGGGAAATTCAACGTTGCCAAACTTATTGGTTTTATTTGACCTGTTGTCTTTTTTTGCATTTGAACAATGTTCTATCAAGAAGATAAAATGCTCAAGATAATCAAATTTGGGCGAAATTGATTTAAATGGCAGGTTACTGTTTTTTTTATTGGGAATATGCCACAAGTTTTCTTTACAATAATTGTAATATAACATTTTGATTTCCATTTCGGAAATCGTTTTATATAAATAAAATTTATTAATGTTTCGTATTTTAAGTACGATTTCCGAACTAAAAATCTAAACATCAAAATAATTTCCCAATATGAAATAATAAACAATTAAACATGCATACAATAACGCCAAATTAAAAAATATTCATACACTAATTTATTTGGCAACGTCTAGTCTAGATAGTCGTTTGGTCAAAAGATCGAGTAACGAGAAGTAGAGGTGGGTCGTGCTAGTTTATCGTTAAGAGCGTAGGTGCAAAATTTCGGGCCAATGTTTTTTAAATGCATTCATTTTTTTCGAATCCTGAGAAAACTAATAAATATTTTCGAAAAAATTAAACGCAGAATGAAACAATACATTATTACCGAGAGCTGAAAGTCCCTGAAAACTTCTATAATGTTTATTTTAATAAGTTATAGGGATGAAAAAAAAACAAAATTTAGTGTGATTTTTAATTTCAAATATCTCATTAAAAAACTTTTTGTTTATTCTAAGGGACCTTCGGCCCTCGGTAATAATGTAATCTTTCATTCTGCATTTAAATTTTTCAAAAATATTTGTTAGTTTTCTCAGGATTCCAAAAAATTTAATTTTTTTGAATGCTAAAAAGCATTTAAAAATTTTAATTTTCATAAACAAGTAACTATGATTGTTTAAAAGTAGTTTCAAGTAAGATAGTACCTACATAAACAAACATAACGGCTATTATCGTTTATGTGTATATCTTTTGAAGTGAAAGAAACTACCTAATGATATATTTATTATAACTTGAAAAATAAACTAAACAATCATTATCATCATATAACGGGGGTCCTACGGCGATTGCCGCTTCCCGCATTTCAGCCTCCATCTTTTCCTATCTCCCCAATCTCCCTCTTCTAAGCCTCTAGATTGCATTGTTTTTGTAATTTCTCTTCTCCAGGAATTTGGTGGTCTTCCCCTTTTCCTTCTTTCTGGCGGAACATACATTAAGGCTTTCTTTGGCTACCGCTCCTCCTCCATTCTCATCACGTGACCATACCATTGTAATTGCCTTCCTTGTATTCTATCTGAAAGAGTATCTCTAATTCCTGTACGGTTTCGTATTTCCTCATTCCTGATTCTTTCCATTCTCGATACTCGACATGACCGTCTAAGATAATCCATTTCCACAACGTCTACTTTATCTCGTTCATTCTTTGTCATCGTCCAACATTCGGCACCATATGTGGTAATTGGTTCTACAATTGCTCTGTATACGCGAAGTTTGGTATGCATCTTTATTTTATTAGACCACAGTAATGAATTCAGTATTAGGATGCATTTTTTCCCTTGAGTTATTCGGTTTTGTACATCTATCTTAACTCTGCCATCTGCTGATATGATGCTTCCTAGATATTTATACTGGTTGCAGCCATTTATGACTGCGTTTTCAAACCTCAGATCTGTGGTATTTCCTCCAATTTTTAAATATTCTGTTTTAAATATTCTGTTCTAAACTAAACAATACAAATAGTAAATCGGACTTACATTTACATTACACGTTATTATTAAATCGCGAATAGTCTAAATTGACATAAAAACTATTGTCCTGTGTTAAATATTGTCCTGTTAATGCGAAGTAACTCTCAGTTACTCCAGATGTCCAGAGGTCAGTAGTAATACAGATATTTTCTACTTCTTTAACAACTTGCGATCTAATAATTTGCTCACTTTTGACATAACATTCCTGAAGTAATGAACCTGACAAAGTTTTTCTTGTTGGCGGTTTATATCCAGGAATCCACCCTGCAAACTTTTTAAAAGCTGGTTCTTTAACTATGGAAAACGGATGAAACGAAAAGTTTAGTAAATCTTGAAAATCAATCAGTCCAAGAAAAAGAAACTAATAAAGATGACTTAAGTCCATGGTGTATTTTTGATGAATTAATTGGACATGACTCATCTAAACATACACCTGTATCGAGAGGTATAAAAGAAGTCGACATGTAATTGTCTGATGATATATTACCCACAAACAATTTCGAACGGAGATTGGAACTGTCCATTACCGTGGTGAAAAAACCATCGCCATGTATATCGTAACTTAACCACTATATTCATAAAATGTTGTAGTATTGTAACAAAATCTTTTCCTTGTGAACACATGTTTAACATCTGGTATAATTTTAAATAAAAGAAGAACGCGATTAACAAGAAAAGTGGAAAAACTTATGTTTTTAAATGTCAATTTAGACGATTCGCGATTTAATAATGTGTAATGTAAATGTAACTATTTAAGTACCATTTGTATTATTTAATTTATTTTTCAAGTTACAATAAATATATCCTTCGTTAGGTTCTTTTATTTCAATACTTATACACATAAACGATAATAGCTAATATGTTTGTGTACTCGCTAATTTGAATACTGGTAAACAATCAACTAGTTACAGTTTACGAAAAACGGTTCCGATAAAAATTAAAAAAACGAGAAGACCCACCTCTAATTTTTTAGGTATATTAGGATCGGAACCAGAGAATATCTGATCGGAACTAATCGTCTCACTAATGGGCAATGGCCAATGAGTGTTAAAAGGATTTTAGGAGGGGAGACGAAGGGGAAATATGATTGTTATCTTTGTCTAATTCGTTGAAAATATGATTTTATATCTG